TATTAACCCGCTTGTATTATCTTGCATAACACACTTCCGGTTTCGAAATAGTAACACTTAAAGCATCTGAATGGATGGAATAGACAGAGGAAACTCTTACTCTTTCTAAGGTGGTCTTTATAATTAGAATAGGATTAGTATTATCTTTAAGTAGAGTCTATCACAAATTATTGCATAGATAAAAAACTAAATTTTATTACATTATAATATATTTAGATATTGCTCTTTTAATTTTTGGATTATATATAGCTTCGACTTATTATTAACTGGAATATTCATACAATGCTTTTTTGATGAATAAATAATAATAAATACAAAAATATTAACAATGCATTTTAAATTAAAATTTAAATTAAAATTCCAATAAGTAACTTTATTTATTTATTTATTTTACACTTTATACAGTATTTATAAAAATAATAAACATTTTAATAACTAATTATAAATTATTAATTAAAATTACTTATAATGTTATATAAATTTACAATTGTTTATTATAATAATTTTGTCATTAGGGTACCGTACCGAAATGATACAAATTAATCTTATAGTGCGACTTTGTTTGTCTCGTCTCGTCGTGTGAATTTAACTGGCATTCGACCAGTTTTATATTCGATTGTATTAATGATCAATAACGTTAGAAATTATAGTTGACCTAAAATATTTTATTTATTTATTTATATTAGGTTATAACAACAATGTACACAGGTAGACTTATTCTTTAAAGGGATTTTTTCATGTCAACCTTGAGAGCCCGAAAGTAGGAAGTATCTATAGGGTTTGTATATAAATAATAACATATATGGTATAAAAATAATATAATAAATAATCATAATCATCATATCAGCTGTTAACTGTCCGCTGCTGAACGTAGTTGCTACGCTTGGCAGGCGGATTGGTAACCGCAGTTAGGCTATGGTGGTATTTAAAGAGGGACGCTGCTGCCCATCCCTCGAGTACCAAGAGACAGTAGCAGAGACACCTATGGAATTCTATGCCAGGACCTACATGGCTAAAAATTTTATGATATATAATAAATTATATTATAGGTAGATATATAGTTAGTAACAGAGTAATGGACACTAATAATTATGTTAGTTACTCTGTCATTAAGTAATTTAAAAACATGTTGTTTAAAAACATGTCACATGTTTAATGCTTGTCAACTATAAAATTGGCACCACTTAAATATACGAATAGTACAATTTAAGGATGAAAGAGAATATGATTTTAACGGTTAAGTTTGTATTTTTTGCCGTTATGGTTTTAATGTATGGATAAAAATAAAATGTTGTGACGCCTGCACTGTTGGTATACACTGGTGGGACACTAGTGATTGATGTTAGATGAAGATGAAATAAAATTAGGTTATTCTATAGTCTTATTTGACGTATTTGTGACACACGTGGAAGTGGATTGTATATTGCTAGCTAAAGCACTGGTATTGATAGTAATGCGGACTACTAGTCCTATTGCTATTCCCAATATACCCTGTCAATTCAACCTCCACATAGTCTCCTCTGGAAACCGTCGTGCTAAATTCCAAGTGTATTCATCAAGATGGGTTAACTATCCTGCCTTTTATTCTCACCTATCATCCCTCACTGGTGTCCCACCAACGTGTATCGTTAACGCAGGCGGAGTTACCATTCCATTATCAACCATTAAAAAAAAAGCATTGGTACTAGTAGTCTCCATTACAAACAGTTCCTTTTTCACTGATACTATTTCGTTATGAGAATTGAAATACGGGCCCCTGCTAAACATTGCTATAGACAGGTATGCGAAAGAAACCATTAGAAACCAGCGAAGTATTGAAATAATGACTTGAGTTCAAACAGTAACCTCGACACACGCATGTATCCATTTAATCCACTCTGTCGACCGTTAAACTTGCTAAAGCCGGTTTTGCACGGCGACACACACTTTGTTCTTGTTATCATTGTATATTTCTCTTATATTTTTTATTTGTAACAATTTTTCTTATAACTTTAAGAAAAAAAAAACCGCCCTGAAGGGGATAAAATATGAGAAGCTTTGGCACTGCAGCCATATTGTGTTTGAGTGGCTGTGTTTTGAATTGAAGGATGGGATATGATAGTGAAATTACAGGATACGGAGGTCTAACATTTTAGTTCTTAAGAATGGCAATGAAGTCGTCCTGACAGGGTATATCATTATCAATTCTTTCCCCCAGTACAAAGCTTAGGTTATATAGATAGAGAGTCTCCATACAAATATTTCGCTAAAAACAGACCAACTTTTTTATTCATGTGTATGTGAATAGGGTTACTATAATATATATTTACTAGCATTAATCAGTATATGAAAGAAATTATATTGTAACGTAAATTGAAAAATAAAAATTAAGCAAAAATCTAACGAATATGTTTGAAGTAACAAAATAAACAGCTTAATGATGCTTATCTTTAATTTATATGAATATATAGGTACATTATGTTTTCATTTTTAAGCCACTAAAACTGTCCGCCATTTTAATTAATACATGATTATTCATTTGTAACCAATACGTACATATCGTCATAGTCGTAGAATACTGACGGATCTTTATACTCGTATGTAATATTTGTCAGATCCATCAGTATTCTACGACTATGACGATATGTTTATTTACATTATATTAGTAAAACAAGTTACTAAATAAAATTTAAGAAATTCCCTGATCCGTAAAATATGTTATTACAATTAAAATTTCAATACTGAAAAAAAAAATGCGTTTGGTTATGATGTAATAAATAGTCAACGAAATGGCAAATTAGCTGATTAAAATTTATCCGTTTTTGACACTCGATGCTTTATTTATATTTTTTTTATAACCCAGGGGATTTGTATGAACCATGCGGCTCGCCTGTGAAAGTCGCCTTAAAAGACTAGCGCCCCCTATGAGCACCCGCAATACCAAAGGCGCTGTAGGTGTGTTGCCGGACTTTTAAAAAGGCTTTTCTTACGATGTAGCATCGGTTCGGAAATACTGTTACTGGAAGTTGATTTTAAAGCGTGGTTGTGCGTGGAAGAAAGTGCTTTGAAAAACGTATGGTGGATTATTCATACAATCTAATGATAAGATATTTTTACTCGTGTTGTTGTTTATGTTATTGTATGTGCCTCTCTACTACCAAAAGTTTCAAGGTTATCTTTGTTATAAATTAAATTCTCTAATATTGTTTACCAGATGACGGTTTTATGTGTTCTTGTAGGCACAAAGCAAGTGATAATCATTTTCAAATGATCCAAATAAAACGCAGTTAGCGTTTTTTTTTAATGGATGATAATGGAATGGTAGCTTTTGTTAACGATTTACACTGGCGAGGCATCAGTGAGAGATGATAGGTGAGAATAAAAAGGCAGGTGATGAAAATCGTGATAATAATCTGACCCATCGTGATGAATATACGTGGAATTCAGCACGATCTTTTCGACCAAGGGGGACCACATAGATTTCGACCTGATAGGGTATATTACAAGCAATGGAACTGGTAATCAGTATTACTAACAATTCCTTCTCCCCTCACAATCAGCGTTGTCCAACCGAGCTGTCACAGTGGGAAATGAATTATTAATAATGAGTTTATTGGCCCCATTACTAGCAACATATTCTATCAGGTCGATCCTCACGCGGTTCCCTCGTAAACCATCGCAATTAATTACTGATGAATTCGTCGCGATACACTAACTGAAATGTCGTTATCCACACCTATCACCTTTCACTGATATCCTGCCAGCATATACCGAGAGTGTAGACCATTCTATTTTCACCTATTAAAATTAACTAAGTTGTCACCGCTTTAAATCATGAGAAACAAGTAGGAAGTGACACGGTCGTGTTGCTGTATAACTGTTTTGCTAATACACCCAGCTGTTTATAAACATAGCAGTTAACGGTCAATTGAAAATTCGCAATGAATTCATTTAGCTTAGAGTATTTCGTTATTTAATCACTAAGTACTATTGATAGGTAATTCATTCAATTTAGTCTGAGATTTTAAAAGTTTCAATATTACTAGAGTAAATAAAATTAGTACCAAATCGAAATATTTAATAAATTTAAAAGGTTTTTTTGTACTATTATTACTATTGGACTATTTTTTGTCAAGATATTGATTTATTAATTTATTATATTTTTTATTACATGCAATTGAAATATACTATACTGACCTACTTGTATCTCAATATAAATAACGCATTTCAATTATTATTTTATAGGTCGTGTCATAAAACCATGAAATAGGATATTTATGACATCTGGTAAGAGCTTGCTAGCAAACGTAATACATTCTTGTTGATATAACATTATTATAGGTGTGCAGTAACTGCTATGAGCGATTACAGGGACCTACCTACAATCATATGCAATGATTTATATGTACAAACTTTAGTACCTAGTATGTATATTTTACACACTGATATTACAAACAATTTTTATATTCAATATTTCATCCAACTGTGTTGTTAATTAGGGCTAATCAAATTTTTAATGCTGGCAATATTACATTGTCCTGGCAATAATTATTTAATTATCTACTTTCGTACTTCTATACTTGACACCTCTAGATGAATGTTTAAGAACCATATTATTCGATTGTAACTATATTACTGCTAAATAAAATACAAGAATTAGATGACTTTCTGTTAAGCTCGTTCTCAACGACAGACTGTACAAGATTGTTCCAAAAAACCTTCTTTCAATTGTTGCAAAGTCAGTTATTTTGATTTTAAAACTAAACTACTGAACCGATTTTGATAAATAATTTTTTATTTTGATAATATAAAAAATTCTGTGAGACTTATCTGTAAGTATATTCTTTCAGATAAAAAATAATTTTCCAACTCGGTTTACACCAGATGGAGTTATGAGGTAATAACTATAAAAGATACAATACAATTGAGAGTCTCTTTTTTGAGGACAACAACAAGTTGGAATACATTCGTGAGAATATATATTTGTATGTTTTATTTTTTAAATAATGAAGATGACATACCCATTAATGCCATAAAGAACTGATTGAGCAGTCCGCCATCGTTGACGCGAGCGACCCATTTTAGTGGTAGCAACTTGAACATAGTGCTGTGCATCGAGCACTGACGATCTTGACTTGTCACTGACACATTTTTTGGCGCGAACTCTCGTTTCTGTAAAAAGAAAAAAAAATAGTTATTTCACAGTAGGAGGATTATCTTTAACATACTTCATGCGGGAAAGGTCGTGGGACACAGCTAATAATAAAAAATTAAAAGGCTGGCAACGCACAAGCAACTCCTCTCGTGTTGCAGGTGTTCATGAACAACAGTAGCTATTCTCTAGCAAGTGGACCGTTAGTACGTTTGCCTTCCTAACAATAAAAAAGAAAAAAGTGAAAATTGTAAAGATATTAAGATACTTTTCACTCACATTTGAACGTGTAAAAAAGATGATTAACATATAATGTAGTCTGCTTCAATAGATTTTAATGAACATGTAAATAAACATAATTTGAACGTTTGTACGTAAAAAGATGATTAACATATTATGTAAATCAATTTTATGCTTCAATGGATTTTAATGAACATGTAAATAAACGAATAATTGACGCGACAAAGACAATGTGTTATTGTACAATATTATCTAATAGTCACCGTAATGGAATTTTTACTCAAAAACTCACGGACAAAGAGATCAAAAGTCGATAAATTGTTTGAAATCGTGATATGAACATCGAAAAAAACAATCAACATTGTCTTGAATAATTGATTATGGTTCATGTTTAGAGAGCTTGCCGAGTCTGTTGATTACGACGCGTTCTTCAACAATGCCGACGGGGTTTCGTTGGTTCACAGATCTTTTCAGATTAAGCATTCAGAACACTTTTTGAATCAGAATATCTAATAGTAGAAATCAAAAGTCAATTAATTGTTTGAAAGTTATGAATGTAACAATATTGGTTATCTTTTCATTAGTTTTTGAACACAGACAGCACGTGTTCAATTCAAACATACGTTGCATAATAATATTACATAAGAAGTTGCATTGCAGACGCTGACGCATCGTTGGCCCAATGTTTGTCTACTAATGTCCGAGCACCCTTTCTTCCGTGTTGGTATTATACCAACCTTATTTATAAAAATATTTCTTCCTTGTATTGGATTTTTATAAATATACATTATCAACATCGAAGTTTTTTTATTTATAAAAAAATATAAGTTTCTAATAAATATTAATATTTATTTCAAATAAAAAAATATATAAATTAATCTTATTTTTTTTTTTAATTTGTAAAAAAAAGACGTTCATGATTTTGACGAAAGATCATTTGTCCGCATGTGTTGTGAGAATGAGTGCTTCATTCTGGACTCTTTAAACAACTTTGTATTTTTGATGGGCAAATCACACTTAAAATTGTGTAGTGTGTAATAAGGTAAAAGACGTGTACTATATTATTATGGAATGTATACGAAACGAAGCTAAAAGGCATGAATTATTTTTTAATATTCGTAACGATATAGGCAATTGTAATATTATACTTTGCAACTCTGTATCAGAAGAAGCAATTAAATTTATTAATTTAGTGTGTAAGAGACAACATTGAAATTAAATAAAAAACAACATTATATATAAGTGAAATATTAGTGTTAAGCTAATATAAAATATATATTTACGAAATTTACATTACCCATACTACAGAATTATAGCATCGGTAGATTCTTAGTTATATGAATTTATTATAACTTTAAATTGAGATACGTAAATCTCTAATGACTTCGATTCTACCCTGTATGAGAGAAATGTAATTACGTACGTAACATTAATTACAAAAGTAGTAAATTACTCGGAGAGTACACTTGGGATATAGAGAGTAATGATCATTATCATCATAATTTCCGTCATTCACTATCTACTATTGACATAGGTCGAGGCCAGTGATCACTCACAATCAATATGACAAGTTAATCATTACGTATCGTTATATATTTTTATCGAGAATAGTAATCATTTGCTTATAATAAGCTTTATAAGATAACCGATTACGTATATTTAGAATGAATTAGATGCTTAGAAAATAATAATAATATCTATTAGTGATACTTAATATATTCTAGTTCCTTAGGGGTTGCATTTTCAAAATTCTTCTTTTATTTTTCAACTACCCTCTATAAAAAATCTACTAGTATCAGCAAAAGTTCAAGATTCTAGATATAGTAGTGTGGATTTAGCAGTATGAGTCAGTTAGTCAGTCAGTCACACAGCATCCACTTTTATATGACTTGATGATTTTAATAATAACACTTCGAAGCATGCTGTGACAATTATTCTTAAATAATCCAATCATGAATTTAAAAAATTCAGAAGATAAAGTCAAATAGTTTCATTAGCGCTATGCTTTTAGTAAAAGAATTATGTAAATTATGAAAGAGAATCGTGTATATAAACAATTGATCCGATGGGTTTTGATTTTCGGCTCCCTTCTGAGCTATTACCCCGCTATATTACACGGTCATCCAAAAAAGGAGTGTAACGTGTTCAGGATTTCTTTCATCGTCATCATATCAGCCGTTAACTGTCCTCTGCTGAACATACCCCCTCCCGCCCCCCAAAAGAAGTGTTTGTTAGATGTTACCACGCTCGGCAGGCTGGTTGGCAACCGAAGTTAGGCTTTGATTATGTTTGAGGGACGCTGCTGCCTATATTTCGACCATTTAGTTTCTTCAGTCGTCTCCTTATAAACTATTACTTATAATATCTTTATAAATTAGGATACTAACATACTATACTACTACTTAGTATTATAGTATATTCATAACAGATAATATACTATATTATCTGTGGTTATGATAAAGCGCAATTGATTTGATACTTTGTAAATCATTCGACGAGATTGTAATGTGCATACGTTGATTGAAAACGATTTACGAGGTTGAGCAACACACGAGAAGGTCAAGCTGTATTGATTGTATGAACTTTGCTTTACCTTTTTGTTTTGTAATTTTTCTCACCATAAATGATTGTAAATATAAATTGTTGTATAATACTTTAATCATTTACATCATCAGAGGGGGAGATAAATATTTGTAAGGTGTTATTTTTTATATGTTTAAATTGAATAGCAACTCGGTATGTGCACTTGATCTACGCTAGCGCAGTACCAATTAGGCATAGATAATATGGATACCGTTCCGATAAATATATACTGGGTTCTTCTAAACATTAATTGCGACAAAAAGATCACCCATTTCATTATCGCGCATATCGATCGAATATCTATTTTCGAATATGTTAAAAGTCTGACATCTAACTTCTAACATATTCGTTATTGGACCAGTATATAGACCAGCATATTCCAAAGATGTAACTAAAATATATAGATATTGCTATATATTATCCTCCCCTAATACCAATAAGGGATGATAAGTAAGGATAAACTCAACTTAGCTCATCATAACGCATCAAGGAGGACTGCGATGACGTCGATCTGAGAAAGTAAGTTTTTTTTATACTACTTAGAATGGCAAACAAACTGACGGCCCACCTGATGAAAAGTGGTGACCGTCGCCTACAGACATGAGCAGTACCATGGACATAACAGAGTATACTGTTTCGCCATGATACCCCCATGCGTTGCCATTCCTGAGGACTCAGGTGTTATTCCTCTGTACCCAGTAAATTCACGCCATATCCCACCCTTCAAACCGAGACACAGACATGCAAACACAACTACTTTACGGTTGATACACAAATGGGACAGAGGTACCCAAGCAATCGACTTTTGTACAAAGTCTCCCTCTGGTAGTTACTAACAATGTTGCTGATAATCCTTATTATTAATAGTTAAACATTGTGTACACAAAAAAACCAATCACCATGTGGTCCCAGCATGGAATGAGCCATCTCTTCTTTTCCCGTAAGTGTTGTAAGAGGCGACTAAGGATATTTAATGCATCAGCGCCTTTTAAAACATCATCAAAGGCTAACTGCGGTTACTAATTTGCCTGCCAAGCGTGGCAAATAATGGCAAAACCCACCTTAATAGAGGGAGGCATTTGATCAGTACAGTCAACAGCTGTTATAATAATGAATGTATTTTGATTAATACTTGTTCCATTCGTTACGAGGGGCTAACTGACCCGCTTTCATGCTCATCTATCATCCCTTACTGGGACCCCGCCGATATATACCGATAGCGCAGGCAGCGTTATCATTCCATTATCATCCATTAAAAAAAATCTTAGTTCTCAGGAATGAGAATGTATGAGAGGTACTTCAGCGTTTGCAATGTATTCCTTTAATTTGTTTGCCATTCTAAGTTGCTTAAAAAATGTTCTCAAACTTCCAAAATTCTTTTTTTAATCCTCGGCGAGGTTGACTATTGGCCACGAGAATGCAAATTCAATAACAACATATAAATTATTCTGTTCCAATTTGCATTTTTGTGGGAGTTCTTTGCATATTTGCATGTATAGTATAAGAATTGTAACAAATGTTTTTTACGCGATCATAAAAACTTGTAGTTTGTCAATTCGCTTCTATTTTATTATGTCTGTGTTATCTTTGCCAATTTGAAATTATTTTTTCTTAATTCTTCTTGTAATTTATAATAGATAATTGTATATAGGTTACAAGTTAATTTTGTTACGAATGAAATAGTTGTTTTTTTTTTTACTGGGCAATTAACAATTGATACATACGATCGGAAATAAATAAACAAATATATTAAAAATAAATACAATTAAATAAATAAAAAAAAAACACTAATAAAAAACCTAGTTATCCAGAGTGACGGCGGTAAGTTTTTTTTTATACCACTGAGGTGACAAACAAGCATATGGCCCACCTGATGGTAAGCAGTTACTGTAGCCTATGAACGCCTGCAATATAAGGGGTGTTACGCGTGCGTTGCCGACTCTGAAGAAACCTTTTTACCCCCCTTTTGATGGTCTCCTGAAATGTTGAATTCTAATATGCTCGATTAAATGTGGTAATATCGACTATTACGCTAACAAATATCGGCAATGTCTCTGAATATCTTATTACGGATAATAGTCGTGAGCATATTTCCTTTATTTTGAATATAAAGAATAAGATTTTAATATATTTATCAGCCTTTTTAGACCCTCGCGTTGACCCTGGCATTACGTACAGTAGTTTTGGACTCTGCACT